CAGAAACATCACATACCTAGACATAGCGACACACATATACTGTTGTGGCAAATCGGAACAGCTCAGTGTCACAGCCAAGTGCTACAACTCTGAGGCACAGCTGCATGTTACAGCTCAGTATTACAGCGCTCAGTCGTGGCTATCACAATTTGAAGACTTGAGAATCTGATGGTCACTCAAAGAGGTGGAGAAAAACCTTTATTACGCCAGCAGGCTCAGAAGAGTTCATACTCCTAAGTCTGAGTGCTCTACCAGAAATGAGGGCTTCCTTATATAGGGATCTACAGGGTAGGCAAGCATGCTCTCTGAAGCAGAGAGAAGTTACAGAACATTCCTGAAACACATGCCCTGTGAGCATGCTCACTGAAACAGAGGGGTGGAGTTATAGAACATTCCTGAGAGGGAGCGGAGCTAATGGAACATTCCTGAGAGGGCATGAAGTTCAGTTACAAAACATTTTTGTACATTGGGCAGGAGCGGCTGCCTGGCAGCACAAACTGTTACATTTCTGGAACAAAGCATTCTGTGGAAAAAAAAAACAACAACATGGAGTCAAGGCAGGGCCTGTCTTATTGTATAGTATTGCTGTATCATATACTACAGTCAAAATTATAATAAAGCCCCCTCTTTAAGTCTTCAAGGGTAAGAGAATCCCTTTTTCATCCAATACCAGACAACCATAAAGAGAGAAAAGTCACCAAAACCATTGCCTAATAGTTGGATATCCATTTATGTTCAACAACACCCCCTAAACAATATCCATTTACTATGTATTAGGAATTCCTACACTGAATGGGTTCTGCCACATGTTTTCTGCTCCATGTTTTCTGCTCCATGTTTTCTAGCACCCGGGCTGTGGTCATCTGGAGGCTCTACTCATCTAAGACATCCAGAGATGTCGTTCACATGGATGATGACCAGTGCTAGGAACTAAATAGCAGCTGATGCCTGGAGCAACCTGGTCTTTCACACAGCCCTCCATGTGTGGAGATGCCACATAAAACAGAAGGCATGTGGTCAAATTTGAATTATAGATAAACAACACATAATTGTTTGACCTGGATTCTTGCTATTTTGCCCATGCAGATCTCAAACTCCTAGGCTCAAGTGATCTCCTGCCTCAGCCTCATGAGTAGGTGGGATAAGAGTATGCTACCACACCTGGCTACGCTAATTTTTTTAAATGTGTGATAATTCTAAGTGACAACTTGACTCTGACACATTGTTCAGATATCTCATCATTGCTGTTCTGTATGTCCAGATATCCAATCAATATTAATCTCAAAGTTCCTAAAAAGTTATTTTTTTAAAATAGAATCAACATTTAATTCGTGGATTTTGCCTAATGCCCTCATATAATAACATGGGTCAGCCTCATTGAGGGCAAAATAGAAAAAGGGACTGGCCTTTGAGTAAGAAGGAATTCGGATCACAAACGTAGTCTAACTTGTACTCCAACATTGGATCTGTTCTCCAGATTGCTAGCCCATCCTGCAGATACTGGGCTTCCAGTATCCATAATCATATGAACCGATTCCTGAAAAGAAATTCTCTGTGTGAGAACATACTTTTTTTGGGGGGGGGGGACCAGCAATCAAACTCGGGACCTTGCACTTGCAAGGCAGGCAATGGAACCACTGAGCTAAATCTCCAGCCCCAAGAGCATACATTATTGACTCTGGTTTTCTGGAGTTGGCATGTAATATTATTTTGTTTATGGAAATTCAACTGGGCACTCTGTGTTTTTATTTGTTAACTCTGGCAACTCTTCAGAGGAACCTCTTAATATACAAGTTTAATAACACTTAAAATGGGGCGGTCTTGATGAAAGGAACAGATCAAAGTAGCATAAAGATAAAAGCTGATAACACCTAGCCTTGGTGGAATTAATAGTAAACAGACTTTTGTATACACCATTGGATCCAAATGTGTGTACCCACATACTGAGGCCAATATTATTATAGATTGATTACTTGATTGGCCTTTGATGTAGAAGCCTTGTTTTCACCAACAAGGGAGTTCCTAGTAAGAAATTTGAAAGACTCATCAAGCTGATTCTGATGTACATCCTGGTTAAAAAGCCCTGGTTGGGGGGACAGGAGAAGTTGGCACAGGAAGTGCCTGCTCCAGAAAAGAAAGCCAGCTAATGTTTATGGAACAAATTGTATAAAGGAACCCAACTCCAGATTCTTCACATTAGCGTCTTGATTTAATCTCCTGACAATTGTGCTTGTGAATTATCACTAATCCTCTCCTCGTGAATGTAACTGCAAAGCATGTGCTCCTAACCACAGAGTTGGATGGCAAAAAGATTGCTCACAAGGCCTACTGCTAGAGTCAACGAGAGACCTTGCCAGCCTAGGGATCTTGAGTTGCTGATGGCAGATCTATTATCAGAACACATATTAAAGTGATGATTATTCTTAGTTCTCCCTTTGTTTACCTTCCCTCCCTTCCCAGCTGGGAGCCAGGCCTAGTGGCTCTTCCCATGGACTTAGGGGAGGTTTACAGCAGTGCTGATAGCAGAAGCTGTCTGAAGCTAGTGTTTCTTCAGTTCTTTAAGAAAATGTAAACTCATGGGAAGAATTATGCTGCTTGTACATGATAGGGAAGAGAGAGCCACTGAGGACACAATGAAAGGGGAAAGGAGATTGCCACACAGAGATCAGGGAGATCAACAGGTCCCTCCAGGAGAAGGAACCTGAGCACTTCCCAGTACCAAACCTTGAGGTTACTCTGTAGATTATCCATCTCAGCCTTGAGGCAAATTTTCTAGAGTGCTCCAAGTCACAAAACCAGCTAGGGAAGTGGTCTGCTCACCCCATAAATCCTCAGGCTGTATCTGGAGGATAAATTCTAAAGATGATCATGTATTATTAAAAACATGATCTGGGAGGGGCAGGGGAAAGGAAAGAAGGGAAAGGAAAAATGATGAGAAATGGAAAAAATGGAAATAAAGTCTTTGTAAATAGGGAAGGGTGGAGGGGGTGAAGGGAGGGCTAGGAATGGGGAAAAAATAAGAACCAAGATGCATTATGTAAAGGTACAATTCCCAATGAGAAATGTAATTGCGTTGTATACCTACAATGTATCAATAAAAGAATTTAATTTTAAAAAATGATCATTTAACATTTTAATGTAAACTATATACAGTGGTACCTTGGTTCATGAACTTAATTTGTTTTACGGTTTTGGGGAAGATGGCTGCGTTTGTGTTTCTGTGGGGAAGACTGGCCGTGGTTGTTGTTTGTCACCTGATATGGAGTTTGTGAATGGAAGCAAAATTTTGTCAAATGCTTTTGTTTGAGAACCAAGTTGTTTGCAACAGAAACATTCTCAAAAAGAAGTATTGCTGTAGTTAAAATTATAATCTCTTTAATAATATGTATCCCAACCAACTACAAGGCAAGAGCACCTGTTTCAAATCTGTGTAATGCTTCCCAATGTTATTAATACTTGATAATGTAATATCTCATTGTTAGACTGTTAGATTACTTTTTATTTTTCTCCATCTTACTTCCATATAAATTGCATTTCCAAATGAAAAGACAGTTTCACTTTATGCCTCAGAATAGTTTGTCAATAAAACCAGATCACTGAGTTTGTATTTATAGAAATTCCAGAGTCATGAAATCGCCATACACAGGTGGAAAAGGACAAATTGGTACAACTTCTTTGTAAACACTTGCCACCAGGGAAAGGAAGATTGCAAGTGAAGCCCCATCAGTTGCTGTTCTCTGAAGTCAAGAATGCAGAGAGTCTCTGACACATACAAGCATGGTCACTGTTATGGTTTGTGTTTAGATGTCTCCCTAAGCCTCATGCTTTTGCAGAGGAGCATGAATCTAAAGTATGTGATTGACTCATGGTGGGGCTAGGCCTCAAGGCACTGAGATCAAGGATGTGAGTGCTACCTGCCCTAAATAGTCTGAATAAATTAAAAGGGGGCAGGAAGACTCTGGTAAGGTTCCCTCGTTGCTTTTTCTACTTTGTGTATGCCATGTTGTTTCTCCTCTCCAATGCCTCTCTGCCACATGCCACCCTGCCTTGGAGCCAGCTGATTATGGACTGAAACCTCTACAAACTGTAAGCCAAATAAACCTTCTCCCATTTAACTTTGAGTGTTGGGTATTTTGTCTCAGCATTGAGAGAAAAGTAACAGTCACCCAGCAGGGCTAAAATATCAAAATCCCATAGCTGCTTTATTAGAGAGCTCACAGGAACAGTATTTTAAATGAATAAAAATTCAATAAGTAGTATATATATATATTACTTACATAGAGCTTAAAATAAGCAAAGTAATCATGTGTTTTGTTTAGGGATATATTCATGAGTAGGAAAATGTGCAGCAAAGCATGAGAATGTTAAAAACACATTTTGAATAAAGGCCCCCTCTGGAGATGAAGTAATCAGAAAAGTTACTCAGGGGCACCCACTCTGCAATTTTGGATTTTATAACCTTGATTGTATAGATGCCTGCTTACTATGGTATTTATTATACTTTTTTAAATGTCTGAAACCTAACGTATTTGACACGAGTAAATCTCTATAGGCCTTTATTTCTGATGAACGAGTAACCCATCATCCATTTAGAAAATGTGGATCTCTCTCATATGTGGAAAGTAATGAGAAAATAGTAACCTGAAAAATGAAGATCGACTATTAAGAACTGGAAAGGGGTCAGAAGCAGGGAGAGGGAAGGGTAATAGAGGATGGAAGGGAGCATGAACATGATCAATGGCATATACAATGTATGGAAATGACACAATAAAACCCATTAATGTGTACTATTAATATGAGTTAGTAATTATAATAACAAAGAGAAAAGGTGGAAAATGCATTCAAATACCACTATAAATTTATTTATAACCTTCAGCACCATCATATACTAATAAAAGCTGTTATCCTGTCATATATTCTCTCCAATTATCAACTACACACAAACACATAATATATATGCATTGAGCATGGATTTGATTAACTGGAATGTGTTTATTTTCTGCAGCTGTGTGACCATGTATGTATTGACACATGTCTACACCCATTCTTTAGCTCACAGATCTACATGTCAGAAGTCTGGCAGGGAATGACCTTATTCTCTGCTCAGAGTCTCACAAGGCTGGAATTCAAGTGTCAGTATAGGCTCAACTGAGGTCACTGGGGGGAAATATACCTCCAAGATCATTCTTATTGGTGGCACATTCTTCTCGTTGTTTCCTCATGACTATTCATGGAAGTCCCTATTCCCTTGATGGTTGTCATCTAGAGGTGCTTTCAGCTCCTAAGTACTAGTCCAATTCCCAGCCATGTGACCTCCTTCATCTTCCAGTTAGCAATGGTGTGTTAATGTTTCTGGTGCTTTGAATCTCTGACTTCCTCTCCTTTGAACAGCCAGAGAAAACTGTGCTTTTAAAGGGCTTGACTTGTTGGGTCAGGCCTATACAGATAGTCTCCTTTTTGCTGTATAAGAGAATATAACTATGGATGTGATATCTCATATTCATAGGTTCTCCCTACACTCACAGGGGTGGGAGTTACTCACATGTGAGTGCCACTAGATGTCATCTTAGAATTAAGCATGCCATTAGATGACTGCTTCGAATTGTGTCCAACACAGATTCAGATAAGAAAAATAAACAAAAATCACTCAAACTTCAGTGGTCCAGATTTAAACTGTTTTCTTCCCGTAGAACTCAGGCCACTGTTATAAGGCATTATTGTTCTAGGGTGAGGCCAGCATAGGAGAAATGACTCACCCAAGTTTCTGTAGTCATGAATATGTCCAGGCTTTTGTCTAACCTACATCTTGTGTTACACCATACTATCCTTTCTACCTCAGAATCAATGGGAAACTACTCCTCCAGTGTCACACTAGATGGTAAACTAGGGGGACAGGAAAGCAAAAGAGTAGTAGGAAATGATGTTATGCTCTTGGGTGTAGGACAGTGTCACCTCCACCTGGGAGGCAAGAGGCATTGGGGCCACCATTGATGTGTCTTAAAGCGCAATCTGCTATATCCTATGGGCATGTTATACTTTTTCTCATTGATCCTCAGACATCAATGAAGAAGGCATAGCAAGTCCCATTTCACAGGGGATCACAGCCCTACAGAGACTAAGATCCTCTTCAGATGAGTGACATGATGAGAATGAGATTTCAATTCTTGCTCTCCCCACAGCATAATCAGTACCATCCCATTTAAAAAATGATCCTTTTCAAATTTCCCAATATTGTATCTTACGGATACTCATTCAACAGCACCTCATGTTGAAGAAGATGATGGTGGACAGTTGAAGTCCTTTGGGCCATGACACCCAGGTGTGGGGTCACAGGGATTGGTTAGTCCATGAGGCTGTTCACAGAGAGAAATTGGGAAATGGCAGCACATTGACCAAGAGGAAACAGGGTGATGATTTTTCTTCCTTCTCTCCAACCTCTCCAAGGGAAGACATCATAGAACAGTAACTGGTCCTTCAGGGGCTACTTCTGCCTCTCTCCTGTTTTTGCTCCATTCCTTACTCATTCTCCCCAGCCTCAGTGACAGTAGAGAACATAGAATGAAGGCAGAAATCTCGGTGGTCCTGGTGGCGGCAGAAAACATGAGGACAAGATCAGGAAATACAGGAACAGAGTCCACAGCCTGGATTTAAGCTCATTCACCAAGAGCTACCTCCAGGTGCATCTGTTTGCCTTGTCATCACTCTACGACACAGAAAAGACCCTCATAAATAACGCATCTACATATTTCCAGCAAGGCTAAGAGACTGAAAAGACTTAACTAGAGAGCAAGAATGTTCCAGATTTGCTTGTTTGGATCTGACACCTGCCTGGGGAAATCTCCTGTCTGTCACTCTAGCATCCTGTCCAGAAGACATATTTCAAAATTCATCTCACCCTTCAGAATCACAAAAGAAACATGCTTCTCTCATGCACACAGGGCATATCTGTTGGAGCTAAGGACAGGTGTGGTTTTAGCTGTGTTGAAGTATGATGGGAGTTTTTTAGGGAACAGAAATATCTAAGACTCAATTAGAGTGATGATTACACAACTTCATACATTTATCAAAAATCAGCCTTAAAATGTGCTGATTTTAAGTGTTTTTAAGTTATATCCCAAAATAGTTGTTTAAAAATGTGATGTTGCCTAGGTTTTTTTTTCCCCTCTTGCTTTCATGCTAAGGATTGAACACAGCCCTTGCACATGCTAAGCAAGTTCTCTATCACTGAGCTGCGCCCCTCAGGCCCTGGCCTGCTGTTGTACCACAGGAACAAACATTTTCATACGGATACTGAATGCGTGTGTGTTATATAAACATGAATGTCTAAAAAACCATGGCTGCATCTCAGCCCTGCTGACTTTGTGTCCTGTGTTCTTTCAGTCAGTGACTGTCTTCCCCTCCCCCACATGCTACTTTAGATTGTCCTTATATGAAAAACCTAATTTACATCTGATTACTTTCACATCTTCCAACTATGTTGGTGACTTAAGATCAGGTCCACAATAGAGTCCAAGAATGTTCTCTGTGACAGGAAGTCAGTGTTACTACTTTCTTTATATTTTTTCATGTGCTTCAATTTTAGGGAAACTAAACTGGAATTACCTCTCTGGATGTTAGTGTGGCAGGACTTATCAAAGAGCTACATAGTTGCACACTCCTTGCACTAACAACTTCTCTTGTACAAGCCTATATTGAGGACAAAGTCAGGGCTGTTGATAAGGCTCAGGGTGTAAGGACTGTCATCCTAAAAATTCATTTCTGGGCCTGAATTTAGGAAAGGAGGTCAAAATGGATGCAAAGCCATAGAGAAGCAGAAGGAAGCAGAGAGAAATGTGGTTGTCATCATGCACGCGCATGCACACACACACACACACACATACACACACACACACACCACTCTAACCAGCTTCTGGTATTACTAGAATTCTTTCAAGCTAGTTTGCTGAGTTCAAACAGGACATAGTTATTTCACCTTGCAAACAGCCACGTGAACTCTGCCTTAAACCGTACCCTTTAGCAGTGTACACACTTTGAAAATGTCATTCACACAAAGTTGGTAGTAGAGAACATTCCAAATAAAATGGGGCTATAAAAATTGATTTTGTCGGGCCAGGGATTTAATTCAGTGGTGCTGCCGCCTGCCTCAGAAGTGCAAGGTCCTGAGTTCGATCTCTGATACCAAAAAAAATTTATTTTGTCACATGCATGGAATGGAATTCCAAGAGGCAGTAAAAATAAAATATAATGAAAATAATGAAAGATGGTATGTTACCTATCATATTAACAGTGATTCACATTATTTCCAGTGTGGAGAAACAGATATTTTCATATTATGTAAATAAGAATATACATTAGTAATAGTATTCTGAATGCATTGTGTGAATGTAAAATAGTTCAGATTTTATGGTTTTGAAAGAATATCTTGAGAAACTAACCGTAATGTTCATGACTATATTTGCATATAAGGAGTCAAAAGTATGAAACTATAGTTCATAACTAAAAAAACGATAAAGGAACTAAAGTTTTATCACAAGAATACAGGAAAAGTAAACTTGGCAATATCCATATGATGAAACAACATTTGATGTAACATTTTTAATTTAAAATTTTAATTAAAAATTTTAACAACTGAACTTATGATATAGAGAAATATAAAATGTTATAAAAATGTATTTGTATGTAAATATGGTCATAATAAAAGCAAATGCAGATTACAAGGATCACAAGAAGCCTAGATTCATTTTTACTCATATGTTTCCAGATATTTATCTACACTTTCTAAAAGTAAGAAATATTTTTCAACTTACACAGAGTCTTCTTTTCGTAATGATACGATACACTTTCATTGTGGAAGCCATCTTATTTTTGTACGCTGAAAATACTCCCCCTTCCACCCAGACTTCCAGAAATCTCTGTCTGATGGGCTTGGGTGTTGGCCCCTCCCTCTACCTTCCTTCTCAGAGGATTCAATCTGCAGTTGAAACTACTGTCACAAGGTGGCACCAGTGTATCACCACTATCACAGCTCTCTACGATGAGAAAAATGATACGCCTAAAAACCAGCTTACACAAAATGATTATAATTTTTTTCCAAAAAAAATTGTTATGTGTAAAATAATACTGCAAAACCCGCCAAGTTGCTTTGGCACATCTTGGAAATCACCAGCTGGCGGAAGGTAACAGGATGTGGGAGCCATAGTAGAGTCTGAGCAGCTGTGCCTATAATGTCCTGGAGAGGAGGTGACTGAAAGGAGGCAGAAGAAGATCTGATAAGCCTGTGCAGGGGCTGGGGTAGTGGAGGGTGAATGCCCTGCTGTCTTGGAGAGACCACTCTACCATACGGACACCTCAGCCCACACAGAGAAGAGAAACATCAATGAATGCCATGGAGACTTGAAGTCATCAGAAAATTGAACTATCTTGATATATATGTGAATTTTCCCAACAAGAATGGAATCCTAGCAAACAAATTGTTTCATTTTATTTTTCTTTGCAAAATGTATTCCTTTGCATTACAAAAGGAAAAAGAAAAAGAAAAAGGGAGATGGATGTCATCTGGTGTCCAGAGTAAAGATTGTCACTGAGTGTTTCAGACCAGGGGGCTCAGAAAGGTTGGGAGCTTGGTTCCTAGAGTTTTCTAGAACTACTGAACTAATACAAAAAAAATCTCCTTGCATCCATTATTGTCTGAAATATCTAAAATGTTATTGGCTCCAGCCTCTTGCAGGAACTGACATAAAATGGCTCATGTGAATCATCAGGGTCTTCTAGGAAAAGCTCAGAATTGAAACTTGTGAAGCTTAAATTTTTGTTTTGTTTCATTTTGGTTTTATTTTGTTTTTGTTTTGTTTTTAGGGTACCAGGGATCGAACTCAGGACCTTGGGCTTTCGAGGCAGGCAAGGTGCCACTGAACTAAATCCCTGGCTCTGAAGCTTAATCTTTTTTTTTTTTTTTTTTTGGTACCGGGGATTGAACTCCAGGCCAGTGAAGCTTAATCTTGATTGCCAACTCAACTGGATTAAGAGATGCCTACAAGATTAATAAAACACATATCTGGTTGTGTTTGTGTGGTTTATGGGGGAATGACTTGGGGACTGTCTGATTCTTGGCTGCTTCATCTCTGGTGCCCTTTCCCTATGCATTGCTTCCAGGCTGCCAAAAAGTGAGCAGCTTTGGTCCACCATACTCTCCTATCATAATGTTTCTGCCTTGGAACCAGCCAACAATGGACTGAATCCCCTGAAACCCTTAGCTAAACAATTTTCTCCTTTAAGTCCTGTATTGCAGGCATTTTGCCCCAACAATAGGAAAAGAGACCAATACAGACCTTCCAGTCTTGCTACTTACCAAGAAAAGTGATTTAGGCTCTGGTAGCCTGAGCTTGATCATCCGCAAAATGAGACAGATCTTATACACATGCTTGCAGGGCAGTCCCTAGAGGTAAATAACGAAATCTTCCCTAAGAATATGGTTTGAATTGGGAATTCAATGGCCCTTTAAATGTTGGGACATAGCAGAACAGGCTGGCTAAGCCTAGGCACTAAGGCAGCCAGTCAGATTAAAACCATTTCTCATTGTCTGAACTATTTGGACAAAGAAAGCAAATATCTCTCTGATATGCCTTGAGTTCAAAGTTTTAGAGGCAGAAGGCTCTTTTCATTCTTGAGTCTTTCATAATCTGATAACCGCAGTTTTCATATCATGCCTCTGAGCAGACCCACATCAAATTCCATACACTGAGAAGACATGTGTGTCTGTGAACTCACCTAGGGGCTCAGGCACAGATCACAGCAGAAAAAAAGGTGTGGTGTCTGACTAATGGCTGTTCCTGAACTGCTCAGTATGTCGATATATTTATAGGAAAAGTCTGGACCCATCCCACAGTCAGAAGTGCAGTGTCCTCAGTTCATGTATCATCAGGCAGCCACATCACAGAAGCATTCCAATCACCTACTGCCTCTCTGAAACAAAAATCCAAGGTACTACCATTTCTTCCACACAGTTGTCTGTTCTTTCATTCACCAATAACTAAGCATGTGTTGAGCTCAAAACTCATACTATTCCATGGAGGGGTCTCACGAGTTCTAAAGTGGAAATGAGAGAGTGAGGAGGGAAATGAATAGATGTGTACCCTCAAGGTTTAAATCTGAGCAGGCCACTTCTCATTAACTTTCAAGCCTGCTCAAATGTAAAAACACAGATTTTAAAAAATTAGACCCAATCAAAAAATGAGCAAATAAAATGAATAGACAGTTCACAGAAGAAGTACAAATGGCCAATAAAAACGCGGAAAAATGCTGAACATTGCTGGTCAGTAGAGAAATGAAAATTAAAACAACACTGAACCAAGCACAGTGGTGCACACCTGTAATCCCAGCACTTGGGAGGCTGAGGCAGGATAATTGCTAAAAGTTTGATGCCAGCCTAGGTTACATAATGAGTTCAAAACCAGCCTTAACTACATAGAGAGACCCTATCTCAAAAATAAAAACAAACAAACAAACAAATGAAACAACACTGAGATTCCATCTTGCCCCAGAAAGAATGGCCATCATCAAGGAATCAAATAATAACTAATGCTGATGGGTGTGGTAAGGAGGGACCCTTTAACACTGTTGGTGGGAATGTAAATGCCCTAGTACAACCACTAAGGAACTTTCTCAAAGAACTAAAAATAGAAATTCCATTTGACCCACCTATTCTTCATCTAGGTATCTTCCTGAAAGAATTAAAGATATCATATTACATACCCATTTGTATAGCAGCACAATACATATTAACTAAATATTGGAAACAGCTTATATGTCGATTAACAGATGAATGGATGAAGAATATGTGGTATTTACACACAATGAAGAATTTCCCTGTCATTTGTAGGAAAACGAATGTATCTTGAGACCATAATGTTAAGTGAAATAAATCAGACACACAAGCTTAAATATCACATGGCTTCTCTTATATGAGAAACAAATTATAAATGAAGAGCAAAATAAAAGCTAGATTATAGAAAGCAAGAAGATGGATCTTTCTCAAATGGGAATGAGAGCAAGAGACAGAGGGAGGGGGAAGGGAACTGAAGGGAGAGAAAGCAATTAAGATGTGTTATGTAGATGCACCAACTCCATACAAAGAATGTGAACATTTTGTACAGCAAACATGTACTGATGAAATAAATAAAATTTAAAAAATCTTTTCTTGCTCTGCCTCATCACCTATTTAACCAAAAGATTTCTTCCTTTGCCCCTCCACTCTCTCCCTCTCCTCCTTTCCCCCAAACCCCTTACTACCATTCAAATTCAAAGTTCCAAAGAGAGGTTTCTACACTCCCTATTAATATTCCTCACTTCCCTGGTTTGTGTACAAACATAATAATATATGAGTATTACTTTCAATGACCTCATACAATGGGCATACTTGCAGAGGCTGCTTCTTTCTCTTGGCAACAAATTGGTAACAGTTTCCCAGGCTCTAATGCATGATTTATTGGGTACTAATCCAGGCTGTTGTATTCCATAACTGTAAATCCCTGGGTAATGTCCTTATTCTCTCTGTCCCTCAGTTATTCATTTATAACATGGAAATTAGCCATAGTACCTAACACATAAGTGTGTTATGAGTATAAATGGCTCAAAACATTTAAATGCAGTTGATATGTTGAAATGGCATTCAATTTTTAAACGTGTTTTGTATGCACCATTGATAATACTTTTCTTGCATTCATGATATAGTAAGAAATAGACAATGTTTATTCACAACCAATGACATGTGAAATATTTTGTTTGTTAGTATATTACTTTCCTAGGACTGCCATAACAAATTCCCACAAATCTCACAGCAAACAACAGAAATTTATTCCCTCCAGTTCTGGAAATGGAAAATCTGACATCAATGTGTTGACAGGGTCTCTCTCTCCCTGAAGATTTAGACAGGAAAATTCTTCTTTCCCTCTGCCAGCTTCAGGTGGCTCCTGCTTTCTTTGGTTTGTGGCAGCATCACTCCAATCTGCGTCCTTCACATGACCTTTTCCCCTGATGTTTCACATCCCCGTTACATTTCTGTTATATGGACAATAGTTATTTGATCTAAAATGCACCCTGAATCATCTTGAGATCTAAATTACATGTGCACAAATGCTATTTTCAAAGAAGGTTGTACTTGCAAGTACTGGGTGATAAGACTTGGACATATCTGGCTAGGGGATACAATTCCAATGCTCCACAGTGATCCAAGGTCATTACAAAACTAAAATCAGGTCCTATCTATAAATAAATATAAAAAATTCCTACATATATGTATAAATAAACATATAAATAAGAAAACTTATAGGATAACATCATAAGGTGAAAACATTAGTGGGGCTTTCTTTGGGTGTTGTTTCAGGAATATTATTTTACATTACTTCCTATATTTTCTATTTTTAACCTATAACATCTATTGGTCTTATAAATAAAACAATAAAAAACACTAGGATGCATAAACATGTTCTACCACACTTAGGAGAAACTTGCTCACTTCAGAACAGGAGCATTCTTGAGACAGAAGGATACATGATACCAGGAAGTCCCTTCCACAGTGTAATATAGAAGGGCATATTTCCCTCAATTCCAAGCCACAATCATTTTTTTCATTATAAATTTCTGCCTAGTAAAAAGAGAGAAAAATTACGTTGCCACAGTTTCATTTGTTTTGTTTTGTCCTGCTTCAAATTAGGATTAAAAGGTTTTCCTATGAAAGGCAGTAACACATATTAGTCCAATGTACTTACATCAGAACTGCACAACCTATTTTCAAATTTAAGCCTCCCCACTGGCTAGGTCTGCCCTTATTGTTCCCTATATTTCCCTTACATCAAAAGTTGGCAACTACTAGCTCCCCTTCATAGGTTGTTATATTAGTCACTCTCTTGTCACTG